GAGATTTTTAAGCAAAACCATTTTTAGATAAAATTAATATTCCGTTTTTGAGACATTTAATATTACTTTTCTATAAATATTGATAAAAAAATAATTAGGCTAAAAAGTTGGAAAATGTAATACAAAAAGTTCCTCAATATTCATYAAGTCATAACTTAAGTTGTTATCTTAGTCATTTGAAAATATTAAAGATACACAGACACAATTTGCCAGGGTGCCTTTTTACTGGAAACTTTTTCTTCCACCTTTCATAATGTAGATGAGACATGAGATACAAAAAAAAAAAAAAACTAAAACAATCAATAGCGGAAGTACCAAAATAAATGTATAATTATTATGACTCATTAACTCATGGTTATTGGCTACGGTCCACAGTGCCACAGACCAAGATAGWTAATATAGATCGCCCGTACTCATAGCCTCAAAATGTATTAATTAAAATTATAGACGTAAAGATGATTATATAAATATAATATAATATAATATAAATAAATATATTATAATAAACATAAACATAATACAAAATAAATTGGATTTAATAGAAATTTTAAGAGTCTATAACCTGGTAAATTTTTCTAACATTAAATATTAAAAATAGCTGTATTTTTAGTTTTTTTTCCTGAATGCCATCAAATTAAGTACCTAATATAATAAGTACCAATTTTAATTTCTCACTGTACCTTTAACATTTTTATCTAGATTATCCCTGGTGTATCTTTCGAATAAAAATKTCACTGTTTGTTAAAGAAATTTGATAGAGGTTTATCTGGAATAATTTAAGAATGATGGATTTAATCTTGTTATTACTTCATCCCAGGTTGTGCGATCTAACTTCACTGGTTTTATTCATTTGAAGTTCTGTCAAATTTCATGTCAGTTCATAAAATTACCAAAACTGAAGCTTACCTTGATATTATAATCCTTACATAAATCAGGAAATCCGAAATGTAACTACATGTTCATATCATTTTTTAGGAATTTTTTTCTATTAAAGTAATAAGAAGATTATATCTGATGCTCTTTATAAAACAACTTATAGGATAGGTGTCCCTTTCCAAACTATTAAAGATATATATTTTATGTAAGTAAAATATTGCAAAGTTGTTGTTTTAATCGTAATTTCTTATAAGTTTGAAAAGAATCATTTAAATTTTACTAAACAGAATTTTAATTAGATGGAAAACGCCATAAGATATTAAGATATCATTTCACATATATATTATTACATTATAATACATAAATTTATTTTATCAATTTTTATTATTTTATCAATAAGTAAAAGTATTCAACTCATAAAATCTAGGGTTGTAATATAATTATTAATAAATGCAAGTAGTTAGATGATCAATATATTACAATTTGGCTAATACTTAAGTTTGTATTTAGCATTTTAGTTAAATTATTATTTATAAACAATAGGTACAATAAAATTTCAAATCATGATTTTGAAGGCTGCAGTATTTTTAAATGTGAATACGTGATTCTAAGTGAAAACTCAGTCCAAATRTTAAATATTTTATCATAAGAAAATGAACTTGGACGGACTTTAAGGTGAAAATATTTATCAACACTAAATATCTTAAATAAATACACCTTTCTAATTTAATTAAATTTCTTAAATGTGTTTAGTTGACAGATTAATTAATGGTAATAATTTAGATCCAAATGAGACTGATTCAAACCTTTATTTATCAACCTGGTTTACTTATTAGTAGTGTATAGATAGTATAGACCACAATTATTTAAAATTACAAGGCATAAGTTATTACTTAGAATTGGTAATTATGATTGGACCTTATTATAAAAAAGGAATACAAGCCACGCTTAAAGGAGTTAGATACTAATAATCAAGTAAATTATAAAAAAAAATTTTCCTTTTTTTAAAGAAAAATCCATCAGTTGCTTAGAACTAGAGAATTTACATTTTTTTTAAAAATAATATTGTTATTTTTATTTAATTATCCCAGTATGAAAATTAAAAACCAGGTATAGGAGGCATGGTAATGGTCAGGGCCGGTGCTACCTTTTGCAAGGCCCTGGRAAAAACTTATTCAACCAATAACCATAGTTACTTATAGCCTTTAGCCTATACAATTTCTTTATTGAATATTTTTCAATGCACATTTCAAGCGCTAGGTCTTGGACAAATGCCCCGCTTTGCCTCCCTTAATGGCCAGCCCTGGTGAAATGTATTATTAGTGTTAATCCATTAAATAAACTAAACCATCAAAGATAACAAGTAAGATTATTATTTATCTTATACATTATGTATATATATCAAAGAATTTTTTTATACATAGTTAACAGATTTCAGAAAAAAATACAAGAGAGACATTTTTTCATTGAGAGTATTACCATCAATTTCTATTTGATTTGAAGAAATAGCTAAATTTGTCATGCATAATTGTATTCCTGGATTCCTGATGTATATTTAACAATGGATCATCAAAAAAATA